AAAAAAAAAAAAAAAAAAAAAAAAAAAAAATGTTGAGACTTCATGCATCATGCATTCTTTTGCACCTGCGATTTTTTTTCTTTTTTTTAGACAGGTCTCACTCTGTTGCCCAGGCTGGAGTGCAGTGATTCAGTGACAGCTCACTACAGCCTCAGCCTCCCAGGCTCAAGCGATCCTCCTACCTCAGCCTCCTTAGTAGCTGGGACTCAGGTGCACACCACCACACCCAGCTAATACTTCTATTTTCTTTTCCTTTTAAAGAGTGGGTTTTGCTATGTTGCCCAGGCTGGTCTCAAACTCCTGGGCTCAAGTGAACCTCCTGCCTCAGCCTCCAAAAGTGTGGGATTTGGGCCGGGCGCAGTGGCTCACGCCTGTAATCCTAGCACTTTGGGAGGCCGAGGTGGGTGGATCACCTGAGGTCAGGAGTTCAAGACCAGCCTGGCCATCAGTGTGAAACACCATCTTTAAAAAAAAAAAAAAAAGTGTGGGATTTAAGGCAGGACTCACCGTGCCCGGCGTGATATTTATAAATACTTTTTATTTTTATTTTTTTTAATAAATAGAGACGGGGTTTCACCATGTTGACCAGGATGGTCTCGATCTCTTGACCTGGTGATCCACCCACCTCGGCCTCTCAAAGCGCTGGGATTACAGGCGTGAGCCACCTCGTCCGGCCTGTAAATACTATTAATAAATATTCATTTAGGTGGGACACCCCTTAAGTTTTGTATCTAAGGTGAGTGTCCCGTCTGCCTCCGCCGACGGCTCTGACCCGTGGTGGCCTCTGAGCTGAGGCGTTCCCTCCTGCAGATTCCAGGACCCGACGGAGTGGGTGGTCTACGTGGGTACGACCCACCTCAGTGGCTCAGAGGCCAGCACCGTGCGGGCCCGGGTGGCCCAGATCATCAAGCATCCCCTGTACAACGCGGACACAGCTGACTTCGACGTGGCCGTGCTGGAGCTGACCAGCCCTCTGGCTTTCGGCCGGCACATCCAGCCCGTGTGCCTCCCAGCCGCCACGCACGTCTTCCCACCCAGCAAGAAGTGCCTGATCTCGGGCTGGGGCTACCTGAAGGAGGACTTCCGTGAGCATCTTCCTTGGCCTCAAGGGAGCTCAGGCAGGAGGGCGGGCAGACAGCACAGGAAAACACGGTGGGGTGCATTACTCTCTGATGTTGTATTCATGAATTCCACTGCTTGCTAAAATGTATCTATCACCCCATCATAGAAGCTACTGGGAATTTTTTTTTATTTTTATTTTTTAGATGGAGTTTCACTCTTGGTGCCCAGGCTGGAGTGCAATGGTGTGATCTCAGCTCACCGCAACCTCCACCTCCTGGGTTCAAGCCATTCTGCCTCAGCCTCCCAAGTAGCTGATATTACAGGCACCCTCCACCACGCCCAGCTAATTTTGTATTTTTAGTAGAGACGGGGTTTCATCGTGTTGGTCAGGCTGCTCTTGAACGCCTGACCTCAAGTCATCCACCTGCCTCAGCCTCCCAAAGTGTTGGGATTACAGGCGTGAGCCACCGCACCCGGCTTTTTTCTTTTTTTTTTTTTTGAGACGGATTTTCACTCGTCGCCCAGGCTGGAGTACAATAGTGCCATCTCGGCTCACGGCACCCTCTGCTTCCTGGGTTCAAGCAATTCTCCTGCCTTTGCCTCCTGAGTAGCTGGGACTACAGGCACCTGCCACCACGACCAGCTAATTTTGTATTTTTAGTAGAGACAGGGTTTCATCATGTTGGCCAGGCTGGTCTCAAAATCCTGACCTCAAGTGATCCACCTGCCTCAGCCTCCCTAAGTATTGGGATTACAGGTGTGAGCCACCATGCCTGGCTTTTTTTTTTTTTTTTTTTTTGAGACAGGCTCTCACTCTGTCACCCAGGAGGAGTGCAGTGGTGAGATCATAGCTCCCTGCAGCCTCGAAATGCTGGGTTCAAGCAGTCCTCCCACCTCAGTGTCCAGAGTAGCTAGGATTACAGACATGAGCCACCGTACCTGCCTAATTAAAAAAAAAAAAAAATGTAGAGACGAGTCTCACTCTATTGCCCAGGCTGGTCTTGAACTCCTGGACTCAAGGGATTCCCCAGCTTTGGCCTCCCAGAGTGCTGGGATGATCAGCATGACCCACGGCCCCCGCCACTTGTGGGATCTTTGAGATCATCTGCAGACAGGCGCAGCATGACGAAAACATTTGCCTCATGGGCTTGGTCGTAGCGGAGGCTGAACAGGGCCACACTCTGCCGCCTTTTTTTTTTTTTTTTTTTTTTTTTGAGATTGAGTCTCCCTCTGTCATCCAGGCTGGAATGCAGTAGTGTGATCTTGGCTCACTGCAAACTCCGCCTCCCGGGTTCAAGTGATTCTCCTGCCTCAGCCTCCTGAGTAGCTGAGATTCCAGGCAACTGCCACCACGCCTGGCTACTTTTTGTATTTTTAGTAGAGACGGGGTTTCGCCATGTTGGCCAGGCTGGTCTCAAACTCCTGACTTCATGATCTGCCCACCTAGGCCTCACCAAGTGCTGGGATTACAGGCGTAAGCCACCACAACTGGCCAAAAAAATGGATCTTAATGCACTTAAATGCACATCTGGCCAGGCGCGGTAGCTCACGCCTGCAACCCCAGCACTTTGGGAGGCCTAGGTGGGCAGATCACGAGGTCAGGAGTTTGAGACCAGCTTGGCCAACATGGCGAAACCCCGTTTCTACTAAAAATACAAAAAATGAGCTGGACATGGTGGTGCGTGCCTGTAATCCCAGCTACTCTGAAGGCTGAGGCAGGAGAATCGCTTAAACCTGGGAGGCGGAGGTTGTAGTGAGCAGAGATCGTGCACTCTAGCCTGGGCGACAGTGAGACTTTGGCTCAAAAAAATAGTGCATCTGAATAGCTGCATGTGGCCAGTGGCTACCGCATTGCACGGTGTAGTTGCAGGGGCTGGTGTTCAGTCACCCACAAGATGTCTGACAGAAGATGAATCCAGTGGAGGAAAACAAGGCAGGGGTGGAGGCTGCAGCTTTAAATAGTTCAGGAGACGCCTCCTGGAGAGAGTGATGGAGGAAGTCAGGCAGATTCTGCAGGGACAGGCATTTCAGGCAGCAGGAGCGGCATGTGCAAAGGCCCTGGGGTGGGAGGACAGCTCCCCTGGGGCTGGAGCTGATGAGAGCTGATTTAATGTTTAGCAAGGGTGGCGGTGGCTGCCGGGAAGGGAATGGATTTCAGTGGCGTGGGATCAGAGTAAAAGAAGTGAGTATGGACAGCTGTCGGGACCCAGGCAAGGATGGGCATGAGACAGGGCGATGCTGGGTACATTCGGGGGCTGATAATTTGAGGCCTGCTGGCCCCTTATACAGGGAATGCTGAGGGTGGACTGGGCTCACAGCGGGGAGAGGAGGACCCTGGGCTGGGGTTGTTAAGTCTGATGCCTCTTCCCTGTCCAGGCAGAGAGTGTCACCGGGTGGGGTATTGACCTTTTGTGGTTTCAGAGCCAGGTGTTGTAGGCAGCCACACTTGCAGCTGGGGAGACTGAGGGAGGCTCAGAGAGGGTATGTCCTTCAGCCTCCCAGCACAAAGTGGCTGCCGGGGCTCCGGCGCTCTCACCCTGCCCTTTTCTCTCCACATTGGGGCAGTGGTCAAGCCAGAGGTGCTACAGAAAGCCACTGTGGAGCTGCTGGACCAGGCACTGTGTGCCAGCCTGTATGGCAACTCGCTCACTGACAGGATGTTGTGCGCCGGCTACCTGGACGGGAAGGTGGACTCTTGCCAGGTGAGCCCCCAACGCCCCAGACCCCAGAAAAACACAGAAAGACACGAGCGTATTCAAGTGCTGAGGGGTTCACAGATCCCTGGATGCCCGTTCTTGAGGAATTTTAAAGCAATTGGGACTGAGAGGCAGATGCCGCTTAGGGGCTCTTCCAGCTCTAACCTGACTACTCTCCCTCCTCTACCCTCCATGGCTCCCCACTCCCTCCCAAGGGGCCCCAGAGGCTGCCTGTGATGGGGTCCCTGTGGAAATCCCCCCAGCTGCCCTATAAACTGGGACTTCTGTGTGATACAGACCCTGTCCCCAGCACCTGCCCTGACACAACATGCCCCCCAAGAAACATCTCTTGCAGGAATGATGCCAGCACACACCCTGGGCATCAGTTCCTCTCCATCTGGACAGGAAAGGCTGGTCTGTGGGAACCCCGTGGACTCTTGCCCCAGGGTGGTCAGCTGGCCATTAGGGAGCTTCAGGCTCAAATCAAGAAGCTTCCAGGAGAGGCCGGGCGCGGCGGCTCAAGCCTGTCAACCCAGCACTTTGGGAGGCCGAGACAGGTGGACCACTTGAGGTCAGGAGTTTGAGACCAGCCTGAGCAACATGTTGAAACCCCATTTCCAGTAGAAACAGAAAAATTAGCCGGGCACGGTTTACGTGCACCTGTAATCCCAGTTATTCAAGAGACAGGCAGGAGACTCGCTTGAACCTCGGAGGCAGAGGTTGCAGTGAGTCGAGATCGCACCACTGCACTCCAGCCTGGGCGACAGAGCGAGACTCTGTCTCAAAAAGAAAAGAAAAGAAAATTAGAGGTCACTCAAAGCTGACCCTGCTGGATACCTGGAATCTGCTTTCCTTCTTTTTTGAGATGGTCTTGCTTTGTCGCCCAGGCTGGAGTGCAGTGGCATGATCTCGGCTCACTGCAACCTCCACCTCCCAGGTTCAGGTGAGTCTCCTGCCTCAGCCTCCGGAGTAGCTGGGATTACAGGCGCACAAAACCAGGCCCAGCTAATTTCTTTATTTGAGACGGATTCTCACGCTGTCGCCAGGCTGGAGTGCAGCGGCACGATCTCGGCTCACCGCAGCCTCTGCCTTCCGGTTTCAAGCGATTCTCCCACCTTGGCCTCCGGAGTGGCTGGGATTATAGGCATGTGTCACCACACCTGGCTCATTTTTTGTATATTTAGTAGAGATGGGGTTTCTCTACGTTGGTCAGGTTGGTCTGAAACTCCCGACCTCATGGGATCCACCTGCCTCGGCCTCCCAAAGTGCTGGGATTACAGGAGTGATCCACTGTGCCTGACCCAAAAACATGAAATTAAAAATTCTTAAATGTTGCTCAGTTCTTGATGTGAGCTCGTATTTGCTGTTCATTTTCTCTGGGGGGGGACATAAGCAGCTTCTGTTCTTGCATTGTGTCGCCTTCGTGGTTGCCCAAATCCCTTTTTTTTGAGAGTCTCTCTCCGTCGCCAGGTGCTAGGCTGGAGCGCAATGGAGTGATCTTGGCTCACTGCAACCTCCGCCTCCCGGGTTCAAGCGATTCTCCTGCCTCAGCCTCCTGAGTAGCTGGGATTACAGGCGCGTGCCACCACGCCCGGCTAATTTTTGTATTTTTGGTAGAGATGGGGTTTCACCATGTTGGCCAGGATGGTCTCAATCTCCTGATCTTGTGATCCACCCGCCTCTGCTTCCCAAAGTGCTGGGATTACAGGCGTGAGCCACCGCGCCCGGCCCCAAATCCCTTTTCTACCCAACCAAGCCAGGTCCCCTTGGGAAAGCTTTCTCCTCTCGAGCTTCTGCACACGTCCTTACCTCCGTCAGCCTCTCGTGATTTTCTGTGGTTTCTGGCCCTCCATCCGGTCCTCCCTAATTTTTTTAGCATGGCTGTGGCTTCCTTTTTCTTTTGGGATGGAGTCTCAGTCACCCGGGGTGGACGGAGTACAGCGGTGTAATCTCAGCTCACTGCGACCTCCACCTCCCACGTTCAAGTGATTCTCCTGCCTCATCTCCCATGTAGCTGGGACTACAGGCACCCGCCACCGCGCCCGGCTAATTTTTCATTTTAGTAGAGACGGGGTTTCACCATGTTGGCCAGGGTGGTCTCGATCTCCTGACCTCACGATCCGCCCACCTCGGCCTCCCAGTGTTGGGATTAGAGGCGTGAGCCACCACACCTAGCCGGATTCCTTTCTTTTTTGTGTTTGCCTTTGCTCTTGTTTCTGAGGCCCGGTGAGGGTGAGGACCGGTAGGGAGACTGCTATGTGTGTGCGCTTAGACGGCCATATTGAAGCCAGAACCTGGAGAAAATGCTAGCAACTCTTACTACAGCGGGCTCGTGTTTAAGAACGTAAACAGGCCGGGCGAGGTGGCTCACACCTGTAATCCCAGCACTTTGGGAAGCCGAGGCGGGCGGATCACCTGATGTCAGGAGTTCGAGACTGGCCTGGCCAATGTGGTGAAACCCTGTCTCTACTAAAGCTACAAAACAGTAGCTGGGCGTGGTGACGGCTGCCTGCAATCCCAGCTACTAGGGAGGCTGAGGCAGCAAAATCACTTGAACCTGGCAGGCAGAGGCTGCAGGAAGCCAAGATCATGCCATTGCACTCCAGCCTGGGCAACAGAGCAAAACGCTGTCTCCAAAAAAAAAAAAAAAAAAAAAAAAAAAAGAGAAAAAGAAAAAGAATCTAAGAGAGTGACGGGGTGAGCTGGGTATGGGAAGGTAAACACTGGTGAGGCCGGACGAGTGAGAGCAGATAAAGCACTTTGGGAGCAATGCTACAGCTACCAGTGAGATATCTGCAGGCGCCAGCATGGCAGCCATACTGTCAGCCTAGGCAAGTGGTGACATTATCAAAGATCTACTGGGTTAAGAAGAGGAGGGGATGTTATTTGGGTCATGTTTAACCTGTCCATGGTAGGACTGAAAGACATCTTAGACATCCTGTAGTCCAGCTGTCTCGGATGTTTTTCTTCCTCCACAGAAGAGGAAACAGGTTCTGAGACATGATCAGCCCACGAGTGCTCTGTGAGCGCACGTGGAGAGAGGCCTTGGCAGTGCCGGCGAGGTGCTGCTGCTTGGGCCTCGCAGCGCCGGCTTTTGGACTGGCTGCTGCCAACCCATCCTGAGGTGTGTTGCTTTCCTAGGGTGACTCAGGAGGACCCCTGGTGTGTGAGGAACCCTCCGGCAGGTTCTTTCTGGCCGGCATTGTGAGCTGGGGGATCGGCTGTGCAGAAGCGCGGCGTCCCGGGGTCTATGCCCGAGTCACCAGGCTGCGTGACTGGATCCTGGAGGCCACCACCACAGCTAGCATGACTCCGGCCCTCGTGGCGGCTCCTGCCCCCGCTGCCCCCAGCACGGCCTGGCCCACCAGTCCCCAGAGCTCCGTGGTCAACACCCCCACCAAATCCACGCCGGCCCCCAGCACCGCGGCTCTTGACTGGGTCACCGTTCTGAAGCTGCAAGGTATTTTCCGAGCGGAAAGGCAGAAGGTGATGCAGGCTCCTATCTCGATTTAGGGAGCTGATGCCTTCATAGAATCTTCCTCATTTTGAGTTTTCCTGTCCAAAGAGTCACGTTTATCCATTTTTCCCCATCTTATTTGGTACGGCCCCCTCACGGTATCTTTCGGTCCACAGGTCTTGCCCATGTCTTGTTAACTATGGCGATTTATCAGTGGAATATTTTCATGTGTTTTTTTTTTTTTTCTTGAGACGGAGTCTCACTCTGTCGCCCAGGTTGGAGTGCAGTGGTGTGATCTCAGCTCACTGCAACCTCCGCCTCCCAAGTTCAAGCGATTCTCCTGCCTCAGCCTCCCGAGTAGCTGGGACTACAGGCACGTGCCACCACGCCCGGCTAATTTTGTATTTTTTTTTTTGTTTTTTTTTTTTGAGACGGAGTTTCGCCCTTGTTACCCAGGCTGGAGTGCAATGGCGCGATCTCGGCTCACCGCAACCTCCGCCTCCTGGGTTCAGGCAATTCTCCTGCCTCAGCTTCCTGAGTAGCTGGGATTACAGGCACGCGCCACCATGCCCAGCTGATTTTTTGTATTTTTAGTAGAGACGGGATTTCACCATGTTGACCAGGATGGTCTCGATCTCTTGACCTCGTGATCCACCCGCCTCCGCCTCCCAAAGTGCTGGGATTACAGGCTTGAGCCACCGCGCCCGGCCCTGTTTTGTTTTTTGAAGAGGAGTTTTACTCTTGTTGCCCAGGCTGGAGTGCAGTGGCATGACCCTGGCTCACTGCAACGTCCACCTCTTGGGTTCAAGCGATTCTCCCACCCCAGCCTCCCAAGTGGCTGGGATTACAGGCGGACACCACCATGCCTGGCTAATTTTGTATTTTTAGTAGAGACAGGGTTTCTCCATGTTGGTCAGGCTGGTCTCGAACTCCCGACCGCAGGTGATCTGCCTGCCTCGGCCTCCCAAAGTGCTGGGACTACAGGCATGAGCTGTGGCACCTGGCCGTTTTTTTTTTTGAGATGGAGTTTCGCTCTTGTCACCCAGCTGGAGTAGTGATGTGATCTCAGCTCACTGCAGCCTCTGCCTCCTGGATTCAGGCAATTCTCCTGCCATGGCCTCCCACGTAGCTAGGATTACAGGTGCCTGCCATGCCTGGCTAATTTTTTTATTTTTAGGAGAGATGGAGCTTCACCAGGTTGGCCAGGTTGGTCTCGAACTCCTGACCTCAGGTGATCCGCCCACCTCGGCCTCCCAAAGCACTGGGATTACAGGCGCGAGCCACCGCACCCAGCCATGCTTCATTTCAGTTCACCTGCGCCCCACACTCTCTTCCGAAGCCCCGTTAACGATCCTGCCCTTCCTTTTTTGAGCCACACCTTGGGTTTCCTGGCATGTCTGTGAAGCTGCCTCTGTGGGCTGTGGGGGTCCTGAGGCTGACTGGGCCACTGTGTGTTACGTTAACTTCTGTCCCCTGAGCTGGGCCATGTACCTCCCTCGAGACCCTGGGCAAGCTACAGACACCTGGAAGCCTCCACGGCTTCATCTGTGGAGAGGGAGTGATTACCAGCACAGGCCTGGGTACAGCTGGTGTCCTGGGAACCCCCACTCCCACGCTCCCATCTGAGCAGGCCAGGATCCCCAGCCCTGGTCTTGTGTCCCCTTCCAGAATGCGGGGCCAGGCCTGCGATGGAGAAGCCCCCCCGGATCGTGGGCGGGTTTGCAGCGGACTCCGGGGAGGTGCCCTGGCAGGTCAGCCTGAAGGAAGGGGCCCGGCACTTCTGCGGAGCAACTGTGGTGGGCGACCGCTGGCTGCTGTCTGCCGCACACTGCTTCAACCAGTAAGGCCCGCCTCCTCCAGGAAGGCTGCCTGGCTTCCCCTCCCTGTCAGAAACCATCCTGCCGGGGCTGCAGCATGGACCGGGGCAGCTGGGAGACAGGAGAGGGCCAGTGCAATGCTTCAGAGGAGAAACAGGGCCCGCCCAGTGGAGGGAGGAGGGCACCTTCCCTGCTGCTTGCTACCCAGGCCACATTTATCTTGGAGATTTCCAGGCGTGGCGGCCAGCACCTGTGGTCCCAGCTACTAAGGCGGCTGAGGCGGGAGAATTGCTTGAGCCCAGGAGGTGGAGGCTGCAGGGAGCCGGATCGTGCCGCTGCACTCCACAGGGCGACAGAGCGAGACCCTGGCTCAACCAAAAAGAGACAGACTCCTAAGCCGTAGGGACTGGGGGGCGGCTTTGGCGCAGGGGTAGAAAATGAAGCCTGAGGCTCCCCTGACCTGCCCAAGGTCCCCCAAATCGGGATCCTTTTCAGGAGAAGCCTGGCAGCCCCTCTTCCCCTGGTCCTCCTCCCTGGAGCCGAGGGCTGGAGGAATGGTCCTGGGGCCCAGGCAGCCCTGTGTGGCTTCCCAGGGTTCGGGGGGGGTGGCTGCCCCACGGGGCTTCTCAGGGGAGTCCATCAGCCTTGGCCCTCCCCAAAAAGGTGGGTGTGATCCGGAGGGCGGGCACGCCTGAGCGCCCTGTCTCCACAGCACGAAGGTGGAGCAGGTCCGGGCCCACCTGGGCACTGCGTCCCTCCTGGGGCTGGGCGGGAGCCCGGCGAAGGTCGGGCTGCGGCGGGTGGTGCTGCACCCCCTCTACAACCCTGGCATCCTGGACTTCGACCTGGCCGTCCTGGAGCTGGCCAGCCCCCTGGCCTTCAACAAGTACATCCAGCCTGTCTGCCTGCCCCTGGCCATCCAGAAGTTCCCCGTGGGCCGGAAGTGCATGATCTCCGGATGGGGAAATACACAGGAAGGAAACGGTGAGCCCTGCCCCACTCAGGGGAATGGCGGGTTCGTTCTCCAGGACCCTAAACCAATTCCACCGCACAGGGACCTCTGTGCCTCGTCCCTTTGTCTCTGGTCCCAATGCCCACACACCACTCACCTCTCCATTGCGTCTCAGGGGAAAATCTGGCCGTTGCCTCTTTGTAAAGTTTGATTGGAAAAAGGGCCACGTTCACATACCAACAGATTGTCTATGGCTGCTGCCCTGCAATAGCAGCAGAGTTAAAAAACGGTGACAGAGACTGGCCTTGAAAGCCGAAAACATTTAATTCTCTGGCCCTTTACAGAAAATGTTTACTGGAGGCCAGGCGCCGTAGCTCACGCCTGTAATCCCAGCGCTTTGGAAGGCCAAGGCGGGCAGACTGCCTGAGCTCAGGAGTTTGAGACCAGCCTGGGCAACACAGTGAAACCCCGACTGTGCTAAACGTACAAAAATCAGCCAGGCGTGGTGGCGCACGCCTATAGTTCCAGCTACTCAGGAGGCTGAGGCAGGAGAATCGCTCAAGCCCGAGAGTTTGAGGCTGCAGTGAGCCATGATCATGCCACTGCACTCCAGCCTGGGCAACAGAGCAAGACCCCATCTCAAGAAAGGAGAAAATGTTCACTGCCGATGTGCTAGTGTATCCCGAGACCCCTCCCGCCCCAAGTCACTGCTCCCCTCGACCTCAGAATGGCCTCCTACACGTTACCCTGGTGCTAAGGCAGCGGCCGTGTGGGGACCGTGGGCTCCGAGTGAGGCATCTGAGGTCTACCTCCTTCTTAATCCATGGCTTTGTGCAATTCCTGGAACTCTGTGAGCCTCCGTCTCTGTGGGGTGGGCATGCCACGTCTCGGGGCTGTTAGCGGAGCTGAACTGGAGCTGCTGTGGCCACCACTCCGCATGTGACCTTTCTGGGCTCTTTCCCTGGCAGTCACCAAGCCCGAGCTCCTGCAGAAGGCGTCTGTGGGGATTATAGACCAGAAAACCTGCGGCGTGCTCTACAACTTCTCCCTCACGGACCGCATGCTCTGCGCGGGCTTCCTGGAAGGCGGAGTCGACTCCTGCCAGGTAACCGTTCACAGGGGAAAGCCGCGTGGCGTTTATTGGTTTTGTTTTTTTTTTGAGATGGAGTCTTGCTCTGTGGCCTGGCTGGCGTGCAGTGGTGTGAGCTCAGCTCACCGTAACTTCTGCCTCCTGGGTTCAAGCAATTCTCCTGCCTCAGCCTCCCGAGTAGCTGGGACTACAGGCACCTGCCACTGTGTCCAGCCGATTTTTTTTTTTTTTTTTAGTAAAGGCGGGGTTTCATTTATTTTTCCAGGTTGGTCTCAAACTCCTGGCCTCAGGTGATCCGCCCACCTCAGCTTCCCAAAGTGCTGGGATTACAGGCATGAGCCACTGCACCCTGCCTTTTTTTTTTTTTTTTTTTTTGGGGTGTTGCACTGTCGCCAGGCTGGGGTGCAGTGGCGTGATCTCAGCTCACTGCAACCACTGCTTCCTGGGTTCAGGCAAGGCCCCTGCCTCAACGTCCCGAGCAGCTGGGACCGCAGGCACGCACCACCACGTCCGACTACTTTTTTGTATTTTTAGTAGAGACGGGGTTTTACCATGTAGGCCGGAATGGTCTTGATCTCCTGACCTTGTGATCTGCCCGCCTTGGACTCCCAAAGTGCTGGGGTTACAGGTGTGAGCCACCACACCCAGCCACGGGGCGTTATTCAGATTAAATACCCACACCCTTTCACTTGGCAGTTCTGTGTGTGCAGACCTAGATTTCTTTTTTTTTCTTTTTGAGACAGAGTCTCGCTCTGTTGCTCAGGCTGGAGTGCAGTGGTGCGATCTCAGCTCACTGCAGCCTCCGCCTCCCAGGCTCAAGTGATTCTCCTGTCTCAGCCTCCCAAGTAGCTGGTACTACAGGCACGCGCCACCACACCCGACTAATTTTTGTATTTTTACTAGACACAGGTTTCACCATGTTGGTCAGCCTGGTCTTGAACTCCTGATCTCAAGTGACCCACCCACCTTGGCCTCCCAAACTGCTGGGATTGCAGGCTTGAGCCACCACGCCTGGCCATAGCCACCATGCCTGGCCCAGATTTCTGAAGGGCTCAACCGCGCATGCAAAGACAGAGGTTAATTTTCAGGCTGAGTGCGGTGACTCATGCCTGTAATCCCCGTGCTCCGGGGGGCTGAGATGGGAGGATCAGCTGAGGCCAGGACTGCAAGACCAGTCTGGGCAACACGGTGAGATCCCATCTCTACCAAAAAAAAAAAAAAAAGAAAAACTTGCCAGGCGAGTGGCAGGCACCTGTGGTCCCAGCTCCTTGGGCAGCTGAAGTGGGAGGATCTCTTGAGTCCAGGAGTTCTAGGCTGCAGTAAGTCGTGATCACACCACTGCACTCCATCCTGGGCAACAGAGCAAGACCGTATCTCAAAAAAACAAGGGCTGGGCGCAGTGGTTCACGCCTGTAATCCCAGCACTTTGGGAGACTGAGGTGGGCGGTTCATCTGAAGTCAGGAGTTCAAGACCAGCCTGGTCAGCATGATGAAACCCTGTCTCT